CAACAAGATGGTCAGAGGAGGTTTTCACCATTCACAAAGCTAAACCTCTTAACAATATGAAAAGCCCTGCAAAGCGAAGGTCCGCTCAGCGTCGATTCAATCTCTCGCTAAGTTGTACAGACAGAAAATGATGCGATGAGAAAAACATAGAGAGATTATTTTTATTTTACATCATCAATGCTAAGCATAAGAAACAATATCTCTTTTCCCAAGCAAGAATTCTAGTCATAATTAACACTCTTATTTCCTAGACTAATAAAATGAAGATGGGTGAGACTGCTTCAAGAAAGTATGGCTTTTAAATAAAACAAAATATTAATTTTTTTGTTTTGTTTTGTTCCATTTTGATATCAAAAGTGGTGCCAAAGATAGGTACGCTCAAAAAAAAGGAAAAACAGTCTGCGTTTTCAAGAAAGTCTTCTGCTGAAGAAAGCCAAAAATACGCAGCGCGCATAAAAAAAGAAGGCTGCACAAAGCAAAAACTATTAAAATTAGTCATTATCAATTATGAAAATATTACTTAAAGAAACAAAACTCCCTTAAGACATGCAGATTTTTAAGAAAAGAAAGACAGTTTGCCACAACTTACAATCATGTATTACATTTGCTGAAAAACAAAGAGTATTTGCATTAGAAGTTTTTTTTTCTTAAAAAGTTAAAAATTACGGCTTAGACCAGCCAGGAAGAACCAACCAATCACTGCTTGAGGACCTCCAGGCGGATCCCCTAAAGACACCCATCAAAATCCACCAGTGGGATTAGCAGTGTGGTGTCACAAAACCCCAAGAAAAATACAAAAGAAGAATTACAAAAGGAATAAACACTGAGTCAAAGTATGAAAAACCAACAATATCACATAGACCACCAAGAAATACTGAGCACCTTGTTTCCATAGCCTGAAGGACAGAAGATCCAAAAATCCAGAGACGAGTAATCCAAGAAAAAAAAGAAATGGAGAAAAAAGCATTGCTGTCAGATTGTAGGCGAGTGGAGGGGTCAGGTGGAAAGGGGGAGTCATTCTTTGACTTTTAAGACATTAAGAGAAAAAAGAATTGAAGAACAAAAGCAAAAACCTTGTGAAAGATAAAGACAAAAAGCAGAGGGTCCAGGCTGTCTTCTGCATGTCTGCCACTGTTCTCCAGACCGCCTTGGCTTTGGTCCAGAAAAAAAGAACAGCTAAGGAAGAAAAAAAAAATGATCTTTTTTTTTTCTCCAGTTGGACAAAAAAAAAAAGGAAAAAGAAGAAAAAAAGAGACAAAAACAAAAAAAAGAAAAAGAAAAGAAAAAAAAGAAAAAGAAGAAGAAGAGAAGAAGAAGAAAAAGAAAAAAAAGAGGGACAGATGGTACGCTGTGACTGGTCTGTGGTCAAAAGACCTGGATATGCTTTCTTTGAAGCATATCACAACGGAAATAATTGTTTTCATAAAGGAAGAAATGAACAAAACAAAGAGGAAAAAGGGAAAAGAAAAGGAAAGTCCACAATATGAGGATCACGAATCATAACCAAACAGTACAAAGGGGGAAAATAAATCAAGTTGATGGACATTATTGGAATGGTTTGAAAACAAGACAAAGATGAGAGGGATGAGAGGACAGGAAGAATGAGTAAGATCATTCTGTGAACGTTAGGTCGGCACTCTTACCTCTTATTGGTGTACCACCTGGGTGGATAATATGAATGCAAATAAGATTAGAAAGAAGAAGCATTAGTACGAGAAGAAGGAGGCTAGGGCTGGGGAGAAGAATTAAATTAGATTTACAGAATTAAATAAGGTCTTAAAAGAAACTTGAATTACTATACTGGTAAAACAGGAATATATTAGGTAGTATTATTAGATCATAAAAAAGCAAGTTGCATTATCCCACAGAGGGCAAAGACTGTAATAGGCAGCATTGCCTTTCTCAGAGAAACAACTGAGTACCTAGGTCTGGGGGTCACTTAGGGTTAGAACTATGACTTATATGTTTCATATCCATAAAAAAGGACTATGCAATATTTTAAAAAGACATAGTTTAGGAGGATATTGGCTAAGCTATTTAAGTATATATATAGTTATGCATATATATATACACCATCATAGGAAACACTAAGGACTGATTGGAAACAAATACTGTTGGTTGGATATCAAATGCTAGTTACTATGCTACATTTGTGTGATATAACTTGTGTACTATTTTAGTTTTTTATACAGTGTTCTTACAATAATAGTTTTGTGGAGGTGTGCAAGTGCGGCGCCACTATGGAGCTCTGGTGTCTACACTGACAGTTAGTAAAATGCATGCCATGCATTTTATTAAAATTAATAGTAATAATAGTAATCTGCATATGGAAATTAGTGGGGGTGAAGTGCGCTTCAGAACTAAGCACTTACCAATAGATTCTGGAGATTTAAATACGGAGAGAAGAAAGACAGCATAAAAATATTATTATATTCCTTATAATTTGGTACAATTTTTTCAGAGTTAAAGCTTTATTATATTAAATCATCTATGTTACATGTGAATAATTACTTCTTTATTTACAAAAACAGAATGCTAATCTACACAATTCTGCTGACAACAAGCAAAAAAAGGCAGTTAACAAGACGCTTTAACATCACAGGACAGGTCAAAAGCCGAGAATTCTGGGAAGACAGGCAGTTAAACAACTTAGAATTTTTATCAATATGATTACCAATGTTACCACAAACAGCTTATTAGTATATATCCCTGAGAACTTACCTAGGGAAAGGCTATAAAACTTAAGATATTTAGAAGGATCTCTATATTTAATCTATAGAGAGCAAAGGAATAGACTTGGGGAGGGGGTTGGGAGGGGGAAATGGGGTAAAAAGAGAAAACAGCAACAGCTGGAATCTATACCAAAAGCAGACTTCTGTAGATCCAGTCAACAGAGGGTTCAAAACCTTGAGTGTGGGAACACACTACTGTGGTTAGTGTGTGGACAATGCTCACTCATATATAATATGCTCACTCAAATAGAAATACAGGATTGGTGACTTGAAAAGGACTTAAAAATACATCTGGTTTTCATGAGATAACGTTTCTATGGTTTATGTATTAGTGAAAAGAAAGCAGATGTGCCCACTTACTAAACCTTGGTACTTTTGGATGAGTTCAAATGCAGAAAGATAGCCGAAAACACACTTTAATAAAGTTAAATCATTTGTTCTTGTTTAATAGGAACATTTGGTTTCTGAATGGATATAACCATTGGAACTCCTTGCAAGTTCTGAACGAAGTCCAATGTTGAAATAAATTTGTTTCAAAAGAAAACAGAGAAAGAAGAAAGAAAGAGGAGAAAATGGATTCATCAAATACTGCAGAAAAGCAGTAATTCAAAATATACTAAAACTACAGTCACAGCAGTGAGCAATGTGGATTGAACAGAAGCTGCAGAAGACAGAGAGAAGAAAGACCATGTCAGGTCATGACATCACACACAGACAACACATTAAATAACAGAGAAAGAGAAGAGGGAGGAAAATCAATACCTAGAACTCAAAAACAGAAATAAAATTAAAATTTTTTAAAAAAAAGTAAGAGAAAGATTAAAAAAAATCTTTAGGAGTCAATAGAAACAGTAACAAGACCCTACCTGATCGTAACTGCTTAATACGACCATTGTTGTTGCTTGTGTCGACAGGTAAGAAATCTTTAAACCAAGTGATTTCTGGATCCGGATTACCACTGGCTGCACAAAGCATGGTGGCAGTGCGTGTACGCTCTACCACCTTTAACTGTGGGCCCATATCAATGGTAGGAAAGCCCCTAGGAATCTGGTCCTCTGAAAGACAAATAAACAATACAAAAATTATGTTCAGTCAAAGGCCCCAAATTCAATTTTCCCATAAATCTCTCATTTGACCTGATTCAGAATTTATTGAGAACCTATTATAAATAAGGCACTAAGGCACTATGAGATACATTCTCAATGTCTATTATCGAGTCTCAGAATAAACTACCTCTGTAGAAGGATGGAACTTCTCAGGTGGTCAAGACTGTCGTGAGGTAATTCATACAATTCTCTTTTAAGAGTTCTGAGGGACGAATAAAAGTACTCGTATCTGGGCCCAGTGAGTCCCGAGAAGAAGCTTTGACTTACAATGGGCCTTTGGAAAGAAATCAAGTCACCCAAGTTCAAAATGAAGAAGGAACTTAGAAAGATGGCAATGTCCTAAGTGTAGGTATTGACATAATAATATTTTTACTGGGTGTAAAAACATGCAATCCAACCGGGCCAACACAGGGATTGCAGTAAAGAGTGAATCAAGGGAGCAGTATTCCAAGCAAGTATTCCATGAGGACATGTTTTTATTATAACTTTCAAATAAAACTATATAGGCTTGCTCCTTATATCCATTGTTTTTCCTTCACTGGTGAAAATATTTCACCAGCTAAGGATCGAAAATATTTTGAAAATTTGTCTACACTAAAAAATGTACATGGGCTGGGAAGGTGGCTCAGTGGTAGAGTGCTTGTCGTACATGCATGAGGCTCTGGGTTTGATTCCTCACCACCACATACGCAGAAAAAGCTGGAAATGGCGCTGTGGCTCAAGTGGTAGAGTGCTCGCCTTGAGCTGAAGAACTGAGGAACAGAGCTCAATCCCAGAGTTCAAACCCCATGATGGACCAAAAACAAACAAACAAAAACAAAAAATAAAAAATGTACAGACATTTTTCTTGCCATTATTACTTAAACAACATAATATTAGAACTATCTGCATAATATTCACATTGTACTATGTTACAAATAATCTAGAGAACATTTAAAGTATAAAAGAATGTACAGTTATATATATATATATCATCTTATGTATATAAGACATTTGAGTATCTACAGATATTATTTTCTTTGTCTCTCTGTTTCTCTGTGACTCTTTCCCTTCTTTGCTTCTTCCCTCCCCTTATATCTCTCTCTGTGTATGTGCATGCCCAAAACTATCACTACTCATATATTTAGAAATAACTATGTCTGTTTTTCAAATAAACGTAAAGTTCAACTTGAATAAATTACTTGTAAGAAATTTAATTGATTATAAAATAGTCTAGTAGTGCTTTACCAACGAATAATTACAATTTCTTATTACTGACAAAAATAAATTCCGAAAAGCCTATTGCACTTTTAGTAATTAAAAAATTGAAACTCACTTTGTATAGCTCCTTAAAAATAACAATTAAGAAACCTCAACCTACCCCCAAAAAACAAAAACAAACAAGTCAAGTTTGCTGAATTTTCAACCTCAAATTTATCCCGTCAACTTTTCTCTATAAACATGAAAACTTCTCTAGATAACAAAGCTTGATCAATTATAGTTTACTTAAATGCCACAAATGTGTTACTGAAGAGTAAAATTTTCAAAAAAAAGACCAACGTTTTCAGAACAACAGTCCTGGATTATAGTAAGAGAAAACCGATGAACTAATAAGTCAAAATGTAGGCTTTTGGTCTCCTTTTGAGCAGGAACAAAGCTACATAATTTCTACCATCTGCCTTGAATGATTCGAAGATGCTATCAAAACTTAAATTTAACACTTGAGCTTAGAAGATTATTTTAGTCCCATGTACTCAGAGACTAAGACTAAAAACCAAATAAAACCAAAACAAAATAAATAAATAACACAGAAATAGATTTTTGAAACAGTCCACACCAATAAGCTACATTTTATTTAAGCTGATGATGTGTCTCTGCTAGGGAGACAGCATCTCTGTGTATGCAAATGTATATCCATCCTCAGCCAAGCAGAGTACTTCAGCGGATAAGTGTCAGAGATCTTGGTAAAGAGTGGAATTTCAAGATGATGTTTCGAGTCTCCAAGGGAAAGTTCAATATTAAAAATGGAACAAGGAGTAGTATCTTGCAAATTAGGCTATGTAGATTTTAATAATCTATTCCACTTGAATTTCATCAGGCTGTGCTTTATGTCCTTAAAGCTGTTGTCAATATATTTACATGTACAGTATATGTATATTGTTGTTGGAGGAAGAAAGGTGAGAAAGATAAATAGCTGCTATTTCACAGAAATGTTATCATTAAATTTCGGCATCACTGACATAAAATACTTCAAAGTATAATGATAATTTACCTCATCAATTACAGTGCTATCCTCATACAGTTTGTTAAATAGCTCTTAGATTTTGATGTTATTTTCTACTTTTAAAGAAACCAGGTAAAATTAATGATGATGATGATAATAATAATAATTAATAATAATATTAATAAAATCACCTTGGGATTTCTGAATGGTTTCTATATTGCCCAGGGCATTCTAAACTCCCAACAGGTGTTGAACTACTAGTTACCATTACCTGCATAAATAGTGCTCTGTTATTCATTTTCCTCTACAAATTCCTCTCACAGAACAACGGAGCCAATATTCAGGGCTGATTAGTAGCGAGTGTCAAGGCTTAAGATTGTTGAACCACTTACTGAAGGCTCTTACCAAGGAAATCTAAACTTAATAACCATTTATAAGAAGTGAAGTTCTCACCTTGGGGGTAGCTGAAAAAATTGACTTGTGCCCTCCTGAAAGTAATCTAAAACAATGTATGACCTTTCCTTTTCCTCATTGGCTCATACAGAACACTCCAGAGCCTCTTTCCCATATATGCCAATGTACAACCAGATAATCTCTCTTGCATACTAATTGGACAGAGAATGTAAAAAGCATTCCATTCTTATTTTTAATACGAGTAATTAAATTCTATCCATCCCCCTCTTTGCACAGAAGCTTTTTGAATGCACTTTCTTCATTAAATTTTCATGAGCAACATCACAATGTAAGAGATTCAAATAGCCGGAGCTGTTACAGGTTGACAGTTGTGGCTCCTTTCCAATTTGACTGTCAGGTATTTGGCAATAAAACTCAGTATTCAACATAAAATGAACTGTAGAAATAATGGATTTTCTAATTGGAATGCTTATCTCAGTGGGTATACTTTAGAAGATGTTAATTGCTTTTTTTCACCAGCCTTACATTTATTAGTGATTTATATAAAACTGCCTTGGCCATTTGATAACGTCAACTTTGACAGCTTATCAAATGAATAGTACTAGGATCTAGGAAATCTAACCAATACCCTCGCTACATTAACCAAGTACACTTTCATGGGTAAAAATCAGCTAATAGAAATTAGCAAATTTGTCAATACATTCGTAGTTTTCAACTTTTACATGAGGTGAAAAGAAAAACATTTTGTCCTATTCATTAATGTGCTCATTAAGCTTTAAAGTACTTCACTTACCACCGTTCCATATTAATATCCAATCATGCAGAATTAGCTACTAATTCATCCACAATTTAAATCAGACTTGACCTTCATGAAGCTATTTGGTCTGTCATTTTGAGAGACTATTAAAGGGCAGATGACTACCTATTGTGCTTAGTGAATCGGAGAGGCATACATATATTGTTTGGAATGGCAGCTATAAAGACTTGGAAATAGAGCCCATTCTTTGAATCTGTTTGTATCTTAATGAAATATGCTGATATGGAGTTTTCATTTCCATTAAAGAAAAAGAGAAATTTACATCAGCATTTTACAGAGTTAACTTTCATTGCTCTTCAACTTGTTAACAAGTCATGACCTTCTCTGGACTTTAAAGGTATCTATGATGAAAATGTCTGTCACTACTTTGAAGAGAGTCTTGCCTTAGATATCTGTGAATGATCAAGTAATAGCTTTTGCCTAATTTGTTCAGTTCAGCTGCTTTCATTTCTCATCCATAAACAATTTTAATGATGCCTTTATATTAGCTTCAAGTCTACAAATACTGTCTCATATTTGAGAATAGCTCAAGGATGGCCCTTTTTGCTTGATCCCACTAGAACTTATACAGAATAAATACAACAAGATGAGTCCTTTGACTTTATTCCTAAGTGAGTTAAGAAACTTTTCACTGAAGGTCATGGTCTTAGAAAAAAGTAATACAAGCCGGGCGCTGGTGGTTCACGCCTGTAATCCTAGCTACTCAGGAGGCTGAGATCTGAGGATCGTGGTTCAAAGCCAGCCGGGGCAGGAGAGACCGTGAGACTCCTATCTCCAGTAAACCACCAGAAAACCGGAAGTGGCACTGTAGCTCAAGTGGTAGAGCGCTCGACTTGAGCTGAAGAGCTGAGGGACAGCGCCCAGGCCCAGAGTTCAAGCCCCACGACTGACAAAAAAAAAAAAAAAGAAAAAAGTAATACAAGGTTATCAGATTTACCACCAATAGTATGCTTCTGCAAATGCATCACTGAACGATTTGACAAGTATACCTGGACATTTAGACATCATTAATAAAACAGGCCTTGCCAAGGATGGTGGTACAATAAAACAAAATCAGAATTTTGAGGAATAAACAGGTTTTCCTCTTGGAGAATTTGTCCCTTAAAGTAATTCTTCTGAGTGCTGAACAATTAATAGTGGGTTTTCTCTCAAAGATCCCCAATAGGCATTACCAATAAACACCTTATTATGGTCAATATACATGTAAATTAATAAAGCTCCTAAAATGTAGTGACTTTATGTGCTGTTGTTTTTTGTTTATTTGTGTGTTTTGTTTTTGTCAGTTGTGGGGCCTGAACTCTGGACCTAGGAATTATCCCTGAGCTCTTCAGCTCAAGGCTAGGGCTCTACCACTTGAGCCACAGCATCACTTCTGGTTTATTCTGCTTATGTGGTGCTGAGGAATTGAACCCAGGGCCTCATGCGTGCAAAGCAAGCGCTCTATCACTGAGCCACCTTCCCAGCCCTGTTTAATGTTCTTAAGGGTCCTCAGTGCTCAACAAATACTCAAAATTG